TTACTCATATTTTTTCCTTTTTATTATTAACCGAAAATATTTTTTAATGGGGGGGGGGTTATAGCTTATGATAAAATTTCGAAACGTTAAAAAAAGGATCCTTAGTAGGGGAGGTGGGGAACAGAAAAACTTTATCGATTTTAAAAAAGTGTTACGATGACAATGGCGGAAGTGTTATTAAAATTTTAATACATTTAACACTGACGGAAACTTAATTTTACTAAAAGGCGGTTTAAAAAATAATAAAAAAAAAGATGAGAGGGTGAGGGAAATTCAACCCCCCGTCGACGCGCACTTCCTCATAATTAATAAGTTTTCACAACCCTTAAAAAAAAAAATCTAATTTAAATTTATCATTTTAATTAAATCTATTTTTTTTTTTTTTTTAAATGGCGATTCGATCCTATAACCTTTTTTATTTTTGTTTTTAAAAGTTTAACTCGATTACTCACACACACACACACACATGATGAGTAAAAAGCATTATTATCCTTTGACACAGATTACCCAAAGGTAAAAAGGTAAAAAAAAGGAAAAAAAGGAAAAATTTTTTCTGGGGTACCAAAAAGGATATTATAATAACCTTTCATAAATTTATGATCGTTATAAATGATGGTGATATTAATTTTTATAAAAAAAAAAAAAGGAGAAAAGTGGAAAAATAAAAAAAGGAAAAAAGAAAAGTTACCGAGAGAGAGAGAGAGAGAGAGAAGAGAGAGAGAAGAAGTTTTTTTTATTGTGATGATAATAATAATTTTCTTGTTGGGTTTTTTTTGCAGTTTGTGCATTTATTCCGTTTCGATTACGCCATTTTTTTTTTTTTTTTTTAAGGTCGATACCTTCTTAAATAACGCAAAAATTTAATTAAACGTAAAAAAAAAGAAAAATTTGATGGAAAGAAAGAAAAGGAATGGAGGGATGGAGGGGAAGGAGGTGGAGGAAAAAAAATCCGCGTTTTACTTATTCATTAATTTTTGTCGGAAAATCCTTTTCGCTTTTCTTTTTTTCTTTTTATTCGTTTAATTATATTCGATGGTAAAATTTAATTTTTTTTTTGTTTTGTTTAAATAAATTAAATTGTTTTTTTTTTTTTTTTTAAGGGGGGATGGGGGGTATTTTCGATTCGAAAAATAAAAAGGAAGTAAAAACACGTGAAACACATTTATTTATTTTTCGAATTCCCCGGGAAAATTTTCATTGTTGTCGCCATTTTTTTTTTTTTTTGTTGAAAATATTACGGTCGGAAATTTAGAGTGTGAGAAAATGATACGAAATGGCTCGCTATCGAATTTAAAAAAAAAAAAAAACGAAACAACCAAACAAACAACCTACAACGTACAAACAAATTAAAATCGTTTGTGTTAAAATGTAGAATTTTATTCTACTCAGGTAGTTTGTTATCAGTTCCCTAACGTACCTGAGTGTGCGGGGTGATGATTAAAATTTTAATAGAAAAGGTAACCAATTTATTAGAGCTTTTAGAGAAAGAACCTTTCACAACCTTTTTTTTAAGGTTGCAAAACAAAAAAAAACCTTTTTCGAAAAAAGGTTTATAGTATTTAAATTGGAAAATTTAATTTTTTTTTTTTTCCAACTCAAAATATTACGAAAAAGGTATAAAAGGCTGAGGGAGGAAGGAGGGGGTAGAAATGAAAAAAGATGTTTGATAATTGATAATATAAATCAAAATGATAAGAACTTATTCTTATCATTTTTCTTTCTCTCTCTCTCTTTTTCCTTATTGATAATAAAATGGGAGAGAAAGAAAAAAATAGAAAACAAATTTTTCTTTTTTTTTTCTCTTCCGCTTCCCGCCCCCTCCCCCGCCCTCATCTAAATTCCCATGACGAATAAAAAAAAAGTTTTCATTTAAAATAAAACATATTCGTGAAAATATCGATAATCAAATGTAAATTATTAATCGTGGAAGTAGATATGGGGAAAAAAAAAATATATAATTTAAGTGATAATCGAAAAACCGATAAAACATCTTAATGGATTTTTTTTTTAACTCAAAAAAATATTAAAAAAAAAAAAACGGAAAATCTTTTTTTTTTAATATTTGCTGAGTTGATGTTTAAAAAAAAAAAAATTCTCGTTCCACGACGGAAAAAAAAGAAAATATTGCTTAAGCAATCGATAAAAAAAAAATACACACACAATTTTAAATAAATTTTTTTTATTTTTTTTCCCTTCTTTTATTTTTTTTTTCTCCTTTTATTTTTTTTTATTATTTCTTTTATTTATTTAAATTATTTAAAAGCGTTTGAAAAAAAAAAAATAATAATAATAATAATATTTTTAGTCTTATTAAAAAATAATAAATGATTGATTTTTGTACTACAGCCACGTCGTTATAGAAATTTTTTTTGAAAATTAATTAAATTAATTCGTACGGTAGCGCTTTAAAAAAAAATTTAATTCTTTTTTTTTCCTTTCATTATCATTATCATTATCATTATCATTATTATTATTATTATTATTATTATTATTATTATTATTATTATTATTATTATTATTATTATTATTATTATTATTATTATTATTATTATTATTATTATTATTAAAACTTTTTTTTTTAAATAAAGATTCATTTAAAGTTTTAGTAACAAATAAAACTAGAAATTTGATCGGATATTTTTAAAATAAAGCTATTTAAGTAAAAGAAAAGTCGGAAAATTTTTTTATTTTTCTCTCGTTTTTTCAAGTTTTTAAAGTCATTAGAAAAATACACAAACCTCGAGAAAAAAACATAATAATAATAATAATAATAATAATTTTTCATAAAATTATAAATATAAATTTTTGTATTTATTTAAAAAATCAAAATGGCCGACGAAACCGGATGTACGAGTGCGCGTTTTTTTTCTCTATGATGGAATTTAAAAAGATTTAATTAATTTTTTCCTTCTAAGTTGCTTAAAACTGATTCGGTTCGGAGTCGTGGGAAAAATAAAAAAATAAACAAAATTTATACAAAAATAATAATAATAATAATAATAAGTTTTTTTTTTAAAAAAAAAGGGATAAAAAATAAACGGGAGCAAATTATATTTATGTCGTGGAACAAGAAAATGGAAAAAATAAAAAAAAATAAAATTATGCTTCGGTTTTTACCTTAAATTGAAAAAAATATAAAAAAATTTTTTCTTCTCTCTCTTTCTCTCTCTCTCTCTTTCTCTTTCCTTCTCTTTTTTTTCGTATTCGAGCAGAAACAAAAAGTAAATTGTCTGAAAACAAAAAAAAAAAAAAAAAAAAAAAAAGAATTTTCTAGAAAGTTATGGACGAATGCCGAAAAAAAAGGAAAAAAATTCGAAAGAAAGTAAAAAAAAAATAGAAAAAGAGAGAGAGGGGAGGGGGAAAGGGGAGGGGAGAATGGAAATAAATTTGTCGAGTCACTGATAAAAAGGAAACGGTTTTTTTTTTAAAATAATAATAATAATAATAATTATATAAAAACGTTTTTTTTTTTTTTTCTATTTCGTATTTATCCCATGAGGTCGAAAATTCGATTATAAAAATTAATAATAATAATAATAATAAATGACAAAAACGATGTTAAACAAGGAGGAAAATAAAAAAAAAAAAACATGGTGACGACGATTGTTTTCCAAAAATCCATTTAATAATAATAATAAAAAAGAAAAAAATTTTTCGACAAAACAATAAAATCCAATTGTATTTAATCATAAAAACGAATATGCAATTTATAAACGGA